ACAGCTGGTCCCTTGTTGAAGGCCTATCTAAATAAATGCAGCATCTACAGCAGATTGTGAAATTTATAACCCCATGCACAACTTAATGTTGAATATTTCATCATTTCAGGTAAATCTTTACCTTTTGTTAAATATTGGTGCCAAAGAAGCAAAGTGTGACATTTCAGTACAGTCCAGTTTTATGTTTGAACACATTTGTGAAGAACCTCTGCAGGAATAGGGACAGAAGCAACTGAATGTTCACAGAAAGTGAACAAAAAAAAAAAAAAAAAAGTGGAGACCGACCCTAATTGAAACCATGTTTCGAGCTGTAATGGGAAGGCACAGAAAAATTAATCCTGCCATTTTAGGTATTTTGATAGCAGCCATTAGTGGAGAGCTGAAGTTATTCAAACCACTTTGCCAGACAGAAGGGAGCTGCTTGTTTTTCTCCTGCCAGCAGCAGTGAGAATGTCTTCCCAAGTGGAACCAAACCACAGGGGTTTATAGAAACAGCTGAAGAGATTATTTGATCTTTTGATTAAAACCTCATTTTTTGGTCAGCTGGTTTATTTTCCCAGGTAATGGCTGTGCTTCTCCTTCCCCACATCTCTGTGATCCCTGGTCAAACCCAGCTCTGGCTGTGGGTGCAGCTCAGACAGAAGGGCACAGGCAGGGACCTCGACACCCTGCAAAAACAGTGACAGAGCTTTCCCTGGAATGTAGTGACAATATTCCCTGTCAGCTAGTCAGCACCTGATAGCTTCCACCTGTCCAGAACAGCCAGCAGTATCTATGAAATCCTGGCATTTATGCTTCATTTTGTCTTCTAAGAAGAGTGGACAGCAAAGATGTGGGGAAAACAATGAGAAAGAAAAAAAAACAAAAAAGGGAGTATCTTTCCCAGCAGTGTGACGTGGGAGGGACAGGACTGCCAGACCCCAAGCTGGAAATCCTGTGTCAAACCTCCAAAGTTACACTGAGAGTTGAAAGGACAAGACTTTTAAAAGTAATAATTCTTGGAGCTTATCTCTTTCCTTCCAGGGTTTCACCACCCTTTGTGTTCATGGTTTCAAACTTTTGACTGCAGACATGGGAGATTAAAACTAAACATAAAACCAATGTTGATTTCACCTGACTCTAAGTCAATCCTGAAGATTGCCAGGCTGGCACGAAAATCCCAGGACTTTGTGACATCCACTCCCTGTTTCAAAACTACCCTGTCCTTTCTCTCTGAGACACTTTACAAATAAAGATCTTTTCCAAAAGGCATAAGCGACACTCCAGTGAAGCAATTTCTTTTCCTGGCACTGTTAAGAGCAGGGACTGAGTTATTATTAATTACTTTTGCATTATTAATGCTGGTCCTTGAATGTGCAATATCTTTTACAGATAAATCACTCTGCCTTGAAAAGTTTCCAGTTTGCCAGCCAAATCCTGGGAATCTGAAACAGCGGGAGGTACCTGGTGCAGCAGAACAGGTAAATGTTAATCCTTGATGCTGCAGGACTGGTGCCTTATCAACGTTTTTCTTTCATTTGTTTTGCAATTGCACCAAACAGACTCAACTGATGCTGTTGTTTCCCAACCTCTTTAATCTGGCATCAGCTGACAGGAGCAGCCTCCATCCTCTTTCTCATTCCTGCTCCTTCTCTTGCCTCTCTTTTTTTGTGGCTTATGCTGCAGTGGAGAACGAAAGCAGGGACATGATGTGGCCAAATTAAGGAGAGGTTTCTTTTTGGCCAGTCCCAGCCCGGGCCCCTGAGCACGGGGCTTTGTAGGTCCTCCTGTCCTTTGCTCAGCTGGTGTCACACCTGTCACACCTACATGGCCCGGGGCACAAGGAGCCCTCACAACTCCCCAGGGTGTTGAGAAGCGCCCACTGCAGCCTCTCACCCCCTGAGGAGTTCCCCACTCACTGTTCTGGCCATTCCTTCATCCCCCTGACAGCTTTTAGGGGTGTTTGTCAGCTCAGCCCCACAGAGCAGCCGTGGCTCCCTGGCAGGGATATCCACTCCCTGTTTCAAAACACAGAGCAGCCGTGGCTCCCTGGCAGGAAGGACAGAGCACACCCAGCAGCTCGGGGACATTTTGGAGGTGCAAACCCAGCCTCAGATAACCCTGTGCAGCCCTGGGGATGCCCAGACCACCGTCACAGGCTGGTTTTGGGGCTGCTTTGCTTTCTCAGGCTGCAGCTCTGCTCGAAGCAGGAGGCCCAGCCTCAGGCACTGCCGCCCTTTTAAAGCTGCTTTGTGGGTTTCTTTTCTTTTCTCTCTCTTTTTTTTTTTTTTCCTTCCCGCAGGTTCCCAGGGCTGGGGATTCAGCTTCTGGCCTCATCCAGAAATCCCCGAGGGTTTCAGATCCCCACGAGGCCTCTCAATGTCTTGATCTGCTTGAATAGGCATTTTTAACGCGGCCCCGGCTGTCATCGGGGCCTGTTACAGTCACTCAACTGCAGCAACATTGTTCTCCCGGCAGCAGCGCCGGGGACACCTCCCTTATTTCCATACTGCACGGGGGGATTTGGCCACTGGGCCGAGCATCCCACCGGGGCTCGGTGGCCGGAGGTGGCCAATTAGCCCCGCTCGCCCCCGGCCCAGCCCTTCATCCCCCCGGCCGCTCTCAGCACCTCCAGCCGCGGGGCTGCTGGCGCCTGTCCATCTCGGCGGCTCCTGCCGGAGGTGAAGGTGACCCCCTTTTCCTGTGCCAGGGGCTCCCTGGCAACGCCGCCTTTTCTTTGGAAGCGGCCTCCTCCACCCCCTGACGGGGCTCGGGGCTGTGAAAGCCCCGCTGCACTTTTGAACTGGCTGCCGGCGCGTTCAGTGGCTGCGCGGGGCAGCGGCGGCGGCGGGGCCGGGCCCAGCGGGGACCCGGTGCAATTGCCCAGAAGTTATTAATAGGCTGGGGAAGAATGTGATGGGCCGGGGAAAGGGTGAGGAGGGGGGAGAGCGGCAGGGAGGGTCAGCGAAAGGGAGACGGGGTGATGAGGGGAGAGGTGGGAGTGGTGGCACGCAGGGAAGACAAAGAGGCAAAGAGACGGGATGGCACCAGGACGGGCAGAGGGGGGCATGCACAGGCTGGAGATGCGAGTTCCCAGTGCCCTGCGCCTTGTGCAGGTGTCTGAGGGGTGGCCGTGCTGCAGGAGAGGTGTCTGTCCCCAGTGCTGGGGATGGAGAGAACAGAGGGACCAGGCCTGGGAGTCCAGTCCATGGCAAGGCATTCCTCTCCCAGGAAGAAATATTACTCCGGGTTCATGAGCCAAATTTGCCATCTAGTGGCCCTGGGGACCATTGCAGAGGGAGCCACGAGGCGTTCGTGGCCGTGGAAGAAGGCACTGCCCATCACCTTCTCCTCAGAGATAAAATCCAGAGTGCTTCTGCTGTTGCTTTACTGGCCAGGGCCCAAAAATGGTCCCTGGAGTGACATTACCTTGGTGTGGCTGCGTTGCAGGGAGCCAACCTTAGCTACCTGCCAGCCTTGTTGCTCCTCAGTGACAGTCCCTGCAGGCTGGGCCAGGACCCAAACCCACCACAAGGCTCAGCTTGCCACTGTGAGCAGCAAGGTTTAGGGAACAGGAGAGTGTCCCATGGCTGTGAGAGCAACAGCAGGGACAACCTGCAAAGCACAGCAGTGTCTTTCTCTGAAGCTCTACATCTCTTTGTTCCTGCAAAGGTGATGACATTTTTATCTAATGTCATAGAATCAAAGAATCCCAGAATATCCTGAGCTGGGAGGGACCCTCAGGGATGCTCAGCCCAGCCCCTGTCCCTGCCCAGCCACCCCAACAAGCCCCCCCTGAGCACCCCTGGCAGCGCTGTCCAAACGCTCCTGCAGCTCTGGCAGCCTTGGGGCCGGGACCATTCCCTGGGCAGCCTGGGCAGTGCCAGCACCCTCGGGGGCAAGAACCTTTCCCTGAGCTCCATGCCAAGCCCTGGCACAGCTCCAGCCCTTCCTGGCCTCCTGTCCCTATCCCAGAGCAGAGCTCAGCCCCTGCCCCTCTGCCTCCCCTGGGGAGGAGCTGCAGCCCCCGAGGAGCCTCCCCTCAGTCTCCTGTGCTCCAGCTGAACGAGCCAAGTGCCCTTAGCCGCTCCTCAGAGCCTTCCCCAGCTCCGTGTCCCTCCTTTGGGCACTCTCCAACAGCTTTGGATCCTTCTGACAGTGTGGTGCCCGAAGTGCCCCCAGCCCTGGAGGTGAGGCTGCCCCAGTGCAGAGCAGAGTGGGACAATCCCCTCCTTCAGCCAGCTTTGACCATCCTGGCTTCTTGCCTCATCCTACCCCCAGACAGCCCTTCCAGAAAGCAGAGGAGTCTTCAAGTTTCCTTTGTGGCCTTTGGAAACTCAGAGCAGGGGAGGAAAAAGGGGCACTAGGGTTTGAGGAAGGGGAAGAGCCTGGGGCAGGGTACCCTGGGACCTGGACCAGCAGAGCCGCTTTATGGCTCTCACCCAGGATTTCTCTTTATAAACAGCTCTCCCTGGGTCAGAAAGAGCTTTGGCCACCCTATCTATGGGAGTGACTGGCAGATAAGAGGATGTGGTGCATTCAGAGGAAAAAAAAAAGGGCTTCAGTATAAGTCAGTGTCCACAGCTTTAATGCACAGCTGTCCTGAGTAAGACCACAAACATCAATAAATAGAGTTAATAATAATAATAATTAGAGCAGCCCCAACAAACCCAGCTGTCACCAGTTTGGCTTCAGTGTTCTCCGCTGTGCCCTTGTCAGCAAGGGGTGCTGGTGCTTGACTAACACAGAGGACACAGAAGCAGCACCGTGTCCCTCCCCCTCTCATGGGGATCTGCTGGACGAAATCTCCAGCTCCCTGAACACCAGTCTGAGCAGAGCCTTCCGAGGCACCTGTGGCCTCCCACCTTGCTTCATGCCCAGCATCACGAGGCCTCAGCTGCTCCCTGCCCCTTCCACTACCACGCTGCCCCTGCCTGAGGAACAGGAGGAACACAACCGAGATGTTCCCCGTGTGAGCATCACACACCCCATGCCCCAGGGAGGCCTGAGGGCACCCAGCTCTAGCACTGCTTGTGGGGCTCCTCCAGGGTGACGTAGGGCACCACAACAGGCCACGAGTCACTGGGCCAGTATTCCAGCTTTGGCTTGAATGAGGGCATCTCGTAGCTGACGTCGAAGTAGATGACCAGGGGGCAGCAGTACAGCAGGGACATGGCTATCAGCACGTGCCTGCCAAGGAAACCAAAAATGTGTGTTGGACAGAGGGTCATGGCATGGTCACTCTGAGGCTGCAGCCCCCCAAAGGTCCCACGAGGGCTGCAGGGAGTGTGTGTCCTGCAGGGTTTGTGCCTAAAGGGAAATCCTGGCAGAGCTCTGTGAGCTGGGCCGGGGACAGTTCCTGGTGCAGCGGGGCTGGGGTGGCACAGGGCACTCATTCCAACCATTCCCCATTTCCTGGCTGTATTGTCTGTCCCAGCCATCCCAGTGCTTTGTGGGGATGGATCTGAGTGTGCAGCACTTGCAGCCCCACCTGGGCAGGCACTAAAATGTCAGGTCCAAGCAAAGCCCTGCCTTTCAGTTTGACTGCTAAAAGAACCCCTAGGACGCTGTACTTCACACCGCAGCCCGGGAGCAGCCACAGCCCTTTGAGAGCCCACCTGAAGGGACTTCTGGAGCCATTTCACTTGCAAAACAGTGCTTGGCTGGTGTGGAGGAGAAGAGGGACATTAAACAGTGGTTAGGGCTGAATCGTTGGGCTGAGTGAGGAAGTGACAGGAGAGGGGGAGAGGGTGGGGAAAGAGTGTCTCATCTCATCTATTTTCTCTGCTGTGGACTTTTCAGCCCAGGAAATGTTTGGGCTGGGGTTCCTGGAGCCCTTACCAGAAGCTGTGGAAGTAGGGGAAGTTGATGGCCTGCCAAAGCCAGCAGAGCCAGCGGTCACTGATCCAGCTGGTGATGGCCAGTGCCCACCACATCACCATGACCGCGGCCATCCGGTGAACACGCTTGTCATTGCACCTGGAAGACACAGCAAGGGACAGGGAGCAGAGTAATCGTGTTGGGAGGAAAGGGAGTTTTAAAGAGGGCTGGTTCCTGCCTGCATATGCAGCAGTGCAAACCCCAGCAAGCTCCTTCTGGAGAGTATTCCTCAGAATTCCACAGGAACTGGAGAAGTGTGGCTCTGGGGAGAGGATTTCTGAATTTCTGGGGGTGAGGATGATGCTGGGAAATGCCAAAGCACTCCTGTCTTTCTCTCCAGACCCTGGTGAGTTCTCCCAGCCCCACACTAGTTCCCAAATGCCCCACAAAGAGGAAGGAGCTGCAGAGATGGCAGCCAAGGGGGAGAATCATGGACTCATAGAACTGTAAATGTTGGAAAAGATCTCTAAGATCATCATGTCCAACTGTTAACCCACCACCACCAGCATGCTCAGCACAAAACCCTGTTCTCAAATGCCACATCCACAGGGTTTTTGAAAACTTCCAGGGATGATGACTCCACCACTGTCCTATGGGTTGTCCCCATTCTACACGGCCACCTGGGCCAGGTGCCCTTCTTGTACCCCACTGCCCACTGGGCTTCTGCCTGGTCCCTCCCAAGTACAGGTGGCTGGTGAAGACTTGGGCTCAGTTCACTGTTGAGGGCAGAGTCACTGCCCAGCAGGAGCACAGCTGGACCTGCAGGTAACCCCTGAGCCCCCTCCTTACTTCTTGAGCTCCTTCCAGGTCAGGTACAGCAGGTGGAAGGCAATGCAGTTGAGAGCGTAGGCATTGAGGGTGGGCTTGACAAAAGACATCAGGGTGCTGATCACAGTGGTGATACCAGTCAGCCAGAAGAAATGCCTCCTGAGGGGAATTGGGAGAGAGTGTCAGTGCCCCCAGGACTCACAGGAGGGGAGGGTAAGGATGGGAAAGGTCCTGAGAGGGGCAAAGCTTCTCCAGCAGCTCCCTTATGTTTGCATGTGGCTGACCTCTGTGTCTGTGGGTCCTGCAGGAAGGCTGAGGTAGCAGCCCGCAGTGGGTCTGTGACAGACCCGGAGCACAGCCCAGGAGGCAGCTCCTGCACTTTCCTGGTGGTGCCAGGGATGAGGCACAGGCAGGGAGCTCTGAGCAGGGAAGGGCTGCCAGGCAGGACTGTGCAAACACCGGTTTGGGCTCCCTGAGCAACAATAGGGCTCAGAGGGGCCTTTCACATGCAAATCCCTTCCCAAGTCCCTTGCTCTCCCCCAGCTGTGTCTCCTCTGTGAACTCCTGGTGACCTCCTGTTCAGCATGGGAAGAGCAGACTTGGAGCAGGTCTTTGCAAGGAGCTGGGCTGGCTCAGAGGGCTCCTGCCAGGAGGGGACATCCTCTGAGTAAAGCCCTGCTGGGTCCCCGTTTCTGCTGGTTCATGCCCTCCCAGTGGCCCCATCCTTTCTGCTGGCCTCCTCCAGCCCAGCCAGCCCTCCTTGAAATGAGGGGTGTAACCATCTTGTCCTATGGGAAATCCCTTCAGCCTTGAGGGAAAGCTCTCTGTGGATGATAGAGGATGCTGGAATAGATTGACAGCCTGAGTAATTGAGTGTTAGTGTTCAGGAATGTTTAATTTCCTAATTAATTTTGAAATTCTCTATGCAAAGTTTCCTCTGCAGTGACACAAACAGCTCCAGCTGAGAGGAGCCTGGCACAGGAGGGTTTTGACTTTTCCTCTGTCAGTACCATAAGAAGGAGGGCCTGGTCCTAAAGCCCGTCAGTGACCTCAGAGCTGACCCCTTGCAGGGGAACTGGGAGATCTGTGGGTCACTACAGCTCAGTGTCAGTGTCCCATCCCTCCCCTCAGAGCCTCACCGTGTCCCTCGGGTCATACCTGGTCTTGATGCACTTGGGGAAGTAAGCCTGTGGGTACCAGAAGGAATAAGCCACAGCCAGTGTCCAGAGGATGGAGAGCTCATCCAAGAGCTGTCCCACGTAGCTCAGGGTCATGTGAAAGTACATGGAGAAGAGACCTGCAAGGAGCAAGGGCACCTTGAGATGACAAAGTTCCATGCTCCCACCTGCCCTAGGAGGTTCTTGGGGGCGGTTCCTGAAGATCCACCATTCCTGAAGATCAAGGTATGGATTTTGGTGTTCAAGGGGCCTGGACTGAGTCTGTCCAGTCACATCATGGGGATTACAGGGCTGGAAGCTGCATATCCACAGCTGGCAGGATCCATGGGCTGCAGGCTTCAAACACACCTGGCTGCTTGGTTGCCTACCCGAGTTTTCCCTGTGCTTTGGCCACTGAGACCCTCCAAAGGTCTCATGTCGAGTAGTCTGGCAACCTGCCTGGTTTTCCCACAATGCTGGCACCCACCTACGAGGAGGAGCAGCCCTGAGACAAAGTAGAGGGGCACAGCCTTCTTCTGGCAGTACTGCCTGTTGAGGTACAGCAGCGCAGGAGACAGCACAAAGAAGCTCACATTGCTGATCTGAAAAACAAGAGGCACACTCAGCTCCTGGGCAAGCCCCATCCCACCACCTGCCTGAGTATCTCTGTGTGTGAGGAGGATCCTGATCTCCAGCAGGAAGCAGGGATTGTTCTTGGCACAGGGAGAGGTCAGAGGTGTTTCTCCAGGAGCTAGGCTGGAACTGGAAGGGCAGCTCTTGCTGTGGCAGCCAGCACTGGCTGCAGACACCTCTGTCCTCCCTCTGGGGCCAGCAAGCCCAGGGTGAGCTGCTGTGTCCCGTTTGGGTGATGCTGGTTTATCTTCAGCTGCCTGGTGTCTCCAACAACTCTGTCTGTAGCCATGTCCCTCTCATGTCAACCCAGACCCTCCTGGAGCTGCCTGGATGGCTCCTGACCCTTCCAGCCCGCAGTGATTCCCCTGTGAGGGGTTGGAAGGGTGTGAGGAGCTCAGCCAGCACAGCAAGTCATGGTCAGCAAAACATCCTGACCTGGGAGTGGGTGTGGTGGAGAGCAGAAGGATGAGCAGGACATCAGTAGGTGGGAACAGGCAGGACTGAGGTGACATCCTGTGGTGTCAGGTGTGAAGCCACCTGGCCTAGGGAGGGGAGCTGTTCTGGACACTGGTAATTACATGAGGTCATAAACCTTCTCTAAACACACCTGGCAAATGAACACAGAGGAATTATTTTGCTCTGGTTTCCAACTCTGCAAAATTCCTTCTTTGGTGGACTTTGATTAGTCTGGGGAACAGGGGATGGTGCTGGGGAGGAGGGGATGGTGCTGGGGCTCTTACTGGAGTGGCTGAAGGTGCCAGTGCTTCAGAGAGAGGAGATGCTGATGGGCAAAATAAGGGAACTGGGGAGGAGCAGTGAGTGCCCAAAGCCTGGACCTGTCTGCTGGGCCAGGCCTGCTCCACCCTCCAGCACAGAGGAGGGAAATCTGAACTAATTTAATTACCATCTGTGGGTTCCTACCTTGCCTTTTTCACCTGACTTTGCAAGCTCAGGGAAGGGATATCACTGGCAAGCACAGCTTCCTCAGTAAAAATGGTTCTTGCTTATGAAAGGTTGGGATTGTGGTGCTGCATTTACCTGCCAGACAGCTCTTTGGGGCTCTGGAGCCATCTGCTGAAGTGCCATTTGGCAGAGCACCAGGGTGACTTTTATCTCAGCCTGACAATCCTTTTCCTTTCATCTTCCAGTTCCAGGCTGACCCAGACCCCACCCCTGGAATTTGGCATCCACCGCTGGAGTCTCCCCCCTCCAGCAGTACCAGGTAAACTGCCAAATCAGTGCTGGGATCCCCTGGGATCCCAGTTTATGGTAACAGGGCTGCAAATCACTGGGATGTTGTCATTTCTCTGGAACACACCCTCTCCTATTCCAGAGGGAAACACAATTCATGGCTAATGTAAAGTCTCTATTCCCTTAAACACCGGAGATTCATCTTGATTTTCACTAAGGCTTCCATGAGACAAGTTGATGTTCCCATTAGCAGCAGTTCTCTGGCTGAATGTATTTGTTTTCCATAGGTGCTTAGAGCCAAATCCAGGCCAATTCCCATTCCAGCCATGAAAAGAAAAGTGCTGCTCCCACTTGCACCCTCGAGGTCAAATTGTTCAGAAACTGAGAAATCAAACCATGTGTTCAAGCAACAGCCATGCTTCAAACGTTTCTTTTCCCTTGAAATGATTAAGGAAGCTTTTGGAAGGCAAGCAGGGATAGCAAGGAGAGGGAAAACGCTTGGGGAAAAGGCAGGAGAGTGCAAGTGCCAGCATGCACGTCAGTGGGGAAACGCGGGAGAGGAGAGCCCTGCATCCCCGGGCATTGCAACAGCGCTATTAATTACATGATAGCTGTGTTATCACTTCATTAACTCGGGACGAGATGTGCAAGATCAGATTGCAGAGGGGAGGAATAACCAGGGGAACCGTGCCAATAGGGTCAGGAAGATAAACGGGACTCCTTGCAGAGCAGCCAAGCTGGGAGTTTAGGGGACAGCTCCCACCCCCGTGGGGAACACGGGGTTTTCATCACTCTGATTTGTAAATGCTGACTTTCTGTCTTCCCTCTTGGATGTGGCAAGCTCCATCTCAGATGTGCTTAGGAAGGTTTTGCTCCCAGGACAGCCATTAGAAGTTTTTCTGGAGTTTCTGCTCAGGCTGGGACCCCCTAGCACAGCTTCTGTTTCAGCCTCTCTGCTCACACTGGCCAGGAGGCAGCAGCTCCCTCTGTCCGGGATGTCGGGGAGATAAGGGAGTGGTTTTGGAGCCAAGGTGTGATAGGACATGTGAGAGTCCCCCTGCCTGAGCTCCCCGCCTGTCCCACTGCCCAATAAATGTGAGTTATTGCTCTGGGTGTCTCAGCTGAACCCAACTATTTCTTCTTTTCTTAGGACAGAAGCGAGTCTGGGATCAGCAACATGGCTCAAATCCTGGTGCACAAATAGGATCATTGGGAAGAGCCCAACTTCTGCAACTCCAGCCTGAGACAGAGGGACAGAACCTTCACCTGTGACAGGTGAGATCAGCCTCTGATATGGATTGAGGGAGGAGGTGCTGGTTTAAGCACAGCAGCAGTGCAATGGCAGCAGAGGCTGCTCCTCACTCACAGAATTCACAGAATTCACAGAATGAATGCTCCAGCCAGGCCCTTTCTGCTGTGGAAGGAGGTTTCCGCAGGACTCGTGGCAGGGAGTTCATTCTCACTCACAGTAAAGCAGCTTTAGCTGACAGAGGAGCCCACAGGGCCAGAGACAGAAGTGAACACTTCTGAGGCTCTCCAGACCTGTGCAGCAAGTTCCTGAACCCAGGCCTGTGTTGTAGGGGATGAGGCTGCAGGTGCTGACATCACAGTGCTGCTACTTTGGGGTAGAAAGCAGCAGTTTGGGGTGCTTGCAGCATCCTGGGCACAACTTTCTGGGCAGGCAAGAGAGCCATGGGATTAGTGAGTATATGAGAGGGCCAGGACACCCACACATCCCTGAGCCCTTCTCTGATAGATCTGCACCCTTTATTTCACCATCCAATGGAGCTCCACACTCTGGGTGTGAGCAGCATCAGAGCTGCTGCAAAGAGACACTGCTGAGGATGTGGGTGTCATTATCAGCATCTTGGATCAGTCATTTCAGCAAAGAAAGCAGGGTAGAAAGACAAGACCCTGACTGATGACCCTCCTGGAGCACAATTCTGCTCTCCCCTGAGCAGCCAGAAGACAATAAATTTCTGGGTCACTGAGTCACTATAAATAGAGCTTTGTTGCAGAACTGCATCCAGCCATGAGCCACCATGTATTATTAGGTACTTAAAGGTACTGTTTACATTCTTTTCTCATACCCCTGGTGCTTATTTCCAATAAAAAGCATCCAAGCCAAGCAGGCCTGAGAGAGTGTGGCTGGCACAGAGCAATCCCCAGCAGCACATTTGCTGCTGCTGGCACAGAACAGCTCTGCTCCAGCCCCAGGCAGGGCTGGGAGGAAGACATTGAAGAGGATTCTCTGTGAGGAAACCCTGCTGATTTAGTGATCCAGGAGGCTTGGGTAGGAGCTGGCTGGGTTCCCAGCTAGCCTAAAACTCCAGGAGAAAATTGACACTGAGGTAAATATTGGTATAATTAATTCAGGGCAATAATGCTTGCTGCAGAGAGGCAGCAACCTGAATGTAGGGAACAAATGAATGGGGAGAAGAAGAGAAGATGCAGGCTGTTAGACTCACACCTGGGATAGTGCCCTGAGCCCCAGCTGGATCTGCAGGATGCAGCCAGCAGGGATAGCTACAGAACTCAGCCTGCTCAGATTTCTATAATCCCCCCCTTTAGGGCACAAGGAACCTGATCCTGGGGGGGGATCCCAGAGCAGGAACGGGGGTCCCTGTGCTGCTGCAGGGGTGAGACCCAGGCAGTGCCAGCCAAGGATGGGATGTAGGCAGTGCCAAACAGGTTGTGCTGGCTGAAGGAGGGACCCAGGCAGTGCCAGTCTGGCTGTGCTGCTGAGGAAGGGGTGATGCCCATGCCAGTGATGTTCCTGCCCACTTTTGGTGACAAGGTCTGGCCCTGAGCATGGCACAGCCTTGGGGCTGTTGTCAGATGCTCAGATAATGGCAGATTTTAGGAGGGTTTGCTCCTCTGCCACCCTTTGTGTGGGCAGGAGGTCACCAGGCAGCCTAAGGCAGGCAGCTGACATGGCAGGGTTAGATTCCTGCTGCTCAGGAGTCACATCCTAAGACAGAATTGTTTCCCTCCCTTCCTGCACAGGCACTCTGCTGATCTCCTGAGCCAGGCAAAAAAGACATCAGTGCAGGGACCATAAAAAGCTCTTTCTCTGCTGAGGAAGAGGTGCCCAGTGCCATACAGAGGAGAACAAGGGCAAGTCCAACTGCTGAGAAAAAATCCTGTAGGGTTTGCTTGTCCCTATCCCTCTGTCCCTCAGCATCACACTCCTTTTTATCTGCATTGAGACATGCATTTGATGGGTTTTCCTCACTGTGCCTGAGTCCCACACAGTGAGAATTCATCCTAACAAGCCCAGTGGTGTGGAGTAGAAACCTGGGACATGGCTGTGGCTAGCAGGGGTCTCCCTCGAGGACTGGGCACCTGGGTGAGATTTTCAGGAGTAGCCACAGAATTTAGAAACCTGTGCCACAAAATGACCCAGGCAGCTGAGAGTTAATGTTTTATAGGAATTAGAGGGCCTACAAGAATTAGTCATGCATCTGGCCACACCAGTTGGTGTCCAGCAGAGGAGTCAGACACTGAAGTGCTTTTGAAGAGCTCCTGAGATAGCTGTTGGTGTGATAAGGACTCTGAGCCACTTTGAAAGTCTGGTGTCAGTGGTGTCTCAGCTCCAAAGACCTGTTTAAAAAATGCTGCCTTATGCATCAAACTAGGACATGAGGCAAATTTATCTCCTGGAAGGAAGAAATTCACACCAAAACCAAAACCTTCACTTTCAGGCTTCATGCTCTTGGTGGCAATCAGCCCCTCTCCAGTGTTAGCAGCCACTCTCTCAAACCCAGAGGCTTTGGGCACTTCCAGCTGCATTTAGAATGGTTTGGATTGGGAGGGACCTTAAAGATCATCTCCTTCTACCCCTTGCCATGTGCAGGGATATGTTCCACTCACACAGGTTGCTCCAAGCCCTGAAATCTGAGATGCTGATGTGAGTATTGAGTGATTTCTGCATCTCCTTGCTCATCATGCCCTGCTCTGCACCTCTGAGCCCATGCAGCAGCAGCAGTAAACAGCAAACAGCACAAAACACCCAGCTGGGTGCCACAGGGAAGCAGGATTTGGTCTGGACTGGCAGATCTTTCTTTGTTGAGTGCCTCAAAGAGCAGTGAGTACACACAGCCCCCTCCTCTGAGACCCTGGCAGGGCGATTGGAGCCTGCAGGACTCGGGCTGGGGAATTATCGTTATTACAGGTAATTTATTAAAAACAGGAAATGCTTTAAAAAAAGAGGAAGAGCCATTTCCATGAGAACAAGGTCTTCTAGTGTTAGACAGCAATTGCCAAAAGTTGTAAACAAGGCCTGTGGAAGGCTGTAAATCCACATGCCTCACACCCCTGGGAGCCTTTAATTGCTCTGAGTGAGCAGGACATGCTCGGAGAGGCTGCTTATCTCCCAGTCCTCTGCAGGCAGATGTGGATGCTCCAGCCAAGGCACTGGCACTGGATGCAGCCTGGGTGATAAAGGATCACAGGAGGTGAAACTGGTTCATGCTCCAGCTTCCCTCTGTGCTGAGTTCCGTGTTCCCAACCTGCCTGACACGGTTCATGGAAGTGCTGCCTCTCATTTTGCCACTCCTGTACGTTTAGCTGGAATATATGAGCCCTGTGTGGGACTTACCCCAGTTGGCAGCAGAGCTGCAGGACTGGTATAACAGGATCTCACAGATCTGGGCTGCGAAGGAGCTCTGCCAGAGTTTTCTCACTGGGAATCTACCCCATGCACACAACACAGAAGTGCCCCTGACCCCAGCACATTTTGGGGAGCGACCATTGCAAGCAACAAGTCCCATGATTTACCTGAAGCTCAGAAAACGCTCCCCATACCAACACCCTCCAGCACCAGGAAGTTCAAATGAGCGAGGAGGAGGAAAGAAAATAGGGATGTCCCATCCTGTCTGGATCCCAAAAGCAGCTCCTGGTGCCTGGAGCCGGCCCCAGCCTCCCTCAGCCACTCACGGTGTTGTAGTACTCGGCAATCACCGCCGAGCGCTCGAAGTTGCTCTCACACCAATCCACCTCGGCACTCTGGTAGGAAAATATGCTCGGCATCCTCAGCACCCTGGGAAAAAGGAGAGGAGCAGGTCAGTGGTGGGCACAGGGGAGGAGAGGGCTGCACACCCAAAGGGGATCCTGCTCCTCACACGTGTGGCACCAGCCAGCCCAGCACAGCGCCTTACCCAGCTATCAAGGGCTCATCCTCTTCCCAACACACATCCTACTGCTCAATAGTTTCTCTCTCCCCTCAATGCACGAGTTGCAGATTGCCCCAGAAAATGCTCTTGGACTCTGAGGATGGTCACCAATCCATGGCATTAGCATCTCTCATCAGGTGCCGTTGCTGCCACACGACGCTTCCCCATTTCAGCCCAGTCCTGATCACCTCATCTTCTCCCTTCTCCTCACTTTCTTTATGACTCAGACCTTCCTGCCAGGAAGACTTCCCTGTGCTCTGTGAGTTACCTCTGGGGAGTGGACAGCCCTGCAGAGGTTGGTGCTCATTGGCTCTGTTCTCCACTGTCATTCCTCAGCATCTTCCCAAAGGCTGGAACTTGGCTCATGGGAGCTCAGGCCTGGAGCACCAGCACAGACCCTGGGCATTACTGGAGACCTGAGGCACTGGGAGCACTGGGAGGTGCCTCTTTCCTCTGAATTGGGTTTCACTTGGGGTGCACTCCCAGGTAATCTCCACCCTGGTTTACCAGTGAAAGGAATCAGAGTTTGACACCTCCAGTGGGTTCTCCACTGACAGACCCAACCTCTGGTAGTGCTGCAGCTACAAATGGGACTCCAAACAAAGTCTACCTTCTGCCTCAAAACAAAGTCTACCTCAAAACAAAGTCTAACCTTCTGCCTCTTTTTTCCCCCCATGTTAAAGACTTTCCTGTCCTCATTGTTTCTCAGCACTCTTTTGTTAATTTGAAAAAGCAGTTCTGGTCTTATTTTGATCAGAAGTTTCCTATTTGCTATATTTTTTTTTCAGATCCTTGAGACTTTAGAGCTGTTATTGAAGAGAGGTGCCAATTTTAGAGGCATCTGGAAGCGCTACCAAACCCATGGTAGCTGAATTTTTGGTACAAAACAGAGAAAGGGATTCCCTGGAGCTGAGCAGTTCAGTTCCTGGATGCAGTGTGGGACTAACCCAGCCAGCCGTGCTGCTCCAGCCCTGCAGAGTGAGCAGGTTTGGGGTGACACCAGACAGGTGACACTGCCTCAGTGGCACCTCTGAGCTCCCGAGACACTGGTGGCAAACAGCTTTTCTTTGAAAAGCTTTTCAGCTCTAATGCAGGGAAGGGAAGTTTATCTCAAACCCACTCATCAGTTGATGATGGCCTTGAGGAGAAACTCCCCGTTTGCAGTGGGGTGAGCTGAGCCACCGCCGTGTCCAGCAGTCCCCTGGGTGTGCAGCAGGGTGAGGCTCCCACAGCTTCCTCTGCCTCCCTTCCCAAGCGGTTCAAAGGGAGAAAACACAGGAGTGTAACACAAACGAGCTCTTCTGCAGCTCCTGCTCCGACCAGACAGACTGACTCGAGGGTGAGCTCCGCTGCTAACGATGGCCTCTCCTTAATCCAGGCTGGCTGCTTCCCAGAGCAGCTGAGATCACAGCCACAGGAGGCAAATAGATGGCAGGCAGAAGGGTTTGAGGGCTGACTCTCCATGCTCCTGGGTTTCCATGTGCTCCTTCACACCCAAAGGACTCTCCTCATCTCTTATCACTTCTACAGCGACACAAGGTGAAAAAACACTCAGAGCCAGGATGGCAAATCCCAGCTCATGGCTAAAGAGATGTCAGTGGAGAGATGGTGAAGGGATGGAGAGACAGAAGAAGAAGGAGAAGAAGAAGATGAAGAACCGCAAGAACAAGAGCAAGAACAAGAACAAGAACAAGAAGCAGAAAAATGGAAGCAGTGATGGAGTGCCCAGTACTGGCTGGTGGTGTCTCCTCCCAGCCTGGCTTACCTGTGATCCCTGGATGGACCAGCACTGCTTCCACACGCTCTGGGAGCTCCAAGGTTTCCAGCAAAGCTGGAGCAGCAACCTGCCCTGCCGCTCTAGCTCCGAAGGAATGCCCACGGTGTGAGCTCACCGCCAGCAGCCGCCAGAAAATCCCCTCTCTCCGTCCCTAGGGAATGAGTTGGGATGGGACAGGAGTCATGTGCACCCTCCAGGCAAAGCTGGGTCCCCACAGGAAACATATTGGCTGGAGGGGTTTATATCCGTGCCCCCAGATGGGCAGGGGCAAGGAGGCAGGGCAGGGAAGCGTGAGCTGGAAGGGTTGGAAGAGCGGGGTGGAAATGCAGCCTGAAATCATCCGAGTGCCCCCGGGCAGGTTCCCTGCGCAGGCGCACGCACCTGGTCCTGGCCCTGCTGCTCCCAGGGGAGGGAAGATCCACTCAAACTCCCCTGCACATGGAGAAAACCCAACGCAAGGGTTTGCACCAGAAAGTGTGGAGCAAGGTGATGCTGCCTCTTTCAGGATTTAAATTCAAGCCACTTCTCAGCTTTTTCCCCAAATGCTGTTTTATTATTATCAAAAAGAATGTTGTTATCAGATCTCACTTCTTCTAGCAGGTTTATTTTGTTATTTAGTTAAAGAACTATCTGAACAGGACACCTTTGGGTGACTGCTTTGCAAATATTTTCCTCCTGGACTTCATTCAGGCGTTCAAGAAATTTGGCAGCAATTAAACTTTTTCCCCCAAAACAACATTTTTTCCCTCCGTGTACAGTTGAGAGAAATATGTTGTTTTCTTAAACATGCAACTTATTATTTGGCCACTGCTTCCTGGTGGAGACACCACAGGCAGGATGAGACCAAGCTCTAAGGTCTTGTCCCTGTCCTTGTCCCTGTGCTTTCTGAAGAGTAGGGTTCAAGCCTTTGCCATGGGGAGAAGCTCTTTAGGAAGCTCAGCCATTTATTTTGCTAATCCTATGAAAAAGAGCATCGCTGGGGGATCTGGGCTGTGCCAGGGCTTACAAAAGCCTCACAAATCCACCTGGCTTTGGAAATGAGGGTAATTACCACGGCAGCAGCAGCTGGTGTTGCACCGTGGTGGAACCTCCGTTACATGTCACCAAGTCCAGGCTTAGTGTCCTTCTAGGAGAAGCTTGGAGCAGAGGATCCAAGGGGATCCCACAGAGCTGCTCCCACCCCTGGATGATGAGGGATCTGGGATGGATTTACTTTTATTCACGTGGAACTCTCAAGGGACTCTGCCAGCAGGACACCAAGCTCCCAGGCTGAAAGGAGTTCCCCAGTTCCGCAGGGAATCTCTGTGAGAAACAAGTGTTGACTTGCCCATCCCACTGGGAAGACAGACAGGGAAGGTGGCAGAGATGGATTTGGGAAGAAGATCCCACACAGGTGATGCCTGGTCTGTGAACATGTTTGAAAAGAATGAGTTTTCCCACCCCAAAACCTCTGGCACCGTTGGGGTGAGCGAAGTGTCCAAGCATCCCTGCTACATCCTGTGCCAGGCAGCAGGTAAATAACTGGGGAGGGTGTCACGGGTCTGCACCTCCCCTGATTCATCAATAAATAGGTCATAAAGAGAGCTTGGTTTCCTGCTGAGTCCTCACTCCACACTCCTCTTTATGTTTACATCCTCCTGCCTGTGGTCAGCGGGGCCTGGGATGCTGAGGATGCTGAGGATGCTGACAGAGGGGTGGGCTGGGGGCAGGAGGGTGCCCAGGGAGCACAGGGTGAAACTTCTGGGCCTCATGAGAGTAACACAGAGACCCCCCAGCTCTGGCTGTGCTGAGGTCACACCTCAAATCCTGGGGGCAGATTTGGGCTCCTCATGACAAGAAGGACCTGAAGGGGCTGGAGTCTGTCCAGAGCACAGAATGGAGCTGGGGAAGGAGCTGGAGCACCAGGAGCAGCTGAGGGAGCTGGAAAGGGCTCAGCCTGGAGAAAAGGAGGCTCAGGGGGGCCCTTGTGGCTCTGCACAACTCCTGACAGGAGGGGACAGCTGGGGGGGTCGGGCTCTGCTCTCTGGCAACAATCAACAAGAGAAGAGGAAACAGCCTCAGGCTGGGCCAGGGGAGGTTTAGATTGGAAATTAGAGGTTTTTTCTTCACAGAAAGATTGTAAAGCGTTGTAATGGGCTGCCCAGGGCACTGGTGGGGTCACAATCCCTGGAGGTGCTCAAAACCAGCGTGGATGTGGCACCTGGGGATGTGGGGCAGTGATGAACTCATTGCCAGTGCTGGGCTGATGGCTGGGCTTGATCATCTTAAAGGTTTTTCCAGCCTTAAGGACTTTGTGATTCTAAACCTCCCTGTATATGAAACTTCTTTCTTTAAAAGCTTCCCTGGAGTCCTCACCTCCTTGCTGAGCCCTGCTGCCTCCTCCCCACCTGGCTCCTCACACCTCACCTCTGCTGAGCTCTGTGAAGGTCAGTGACACAGGGACTGTCCTGTCCCCTCAGCTGCTCCCTTCCTGCTCCCTGGCACTGATGCCCTCTTTCAAGGCCCCACATCCCAGGCCATGTGCCAGGCTTTGTGACACAGGACAGGGTAAACCTGGACAGCCTCATCCCAGCTCCTTTGCCTCTCTGTCACCCCTGGGGCAGGCACTGGGTACTGAGGTTCTCACTGGGACAGCTGAGAGCAGGCAGTGGAACCACAGTCCCAGATGTTTGGGTTGGGAGGAACCTTAAAGCCCATCCAGTGCCACCCCCTGTGCACCTTCCACTATCCCAGGGTGTCCCAAGCCTCGTCCAAGTTGAGGGATGGAGCAGGAGCTTCACAGGAGCAGAACCAGCTCAGGGCCCAGCTGCCAGGCTTTTATAGCTGTGTGCCCACAAGCCATGCTGGGCAGGAGTTCTGCTGCTGCTGCTGCCAAAAACTGGGAAGCTAGGACTCTGGCAGGTGAGTTTGGGAAAGTCCAGTTGCTTAACTTGAGGCTGGTCCTACCTGCTCTGGCCTGTGGCACTTTGGATTGAGATTTCCACCTGAACTGCTGCTGACGAGGGTTTTTTTTAAGGGATACCAATTACAGCCACTGTGGTTCAGGGCCACGTGTGTTTATTTATTGCTTTGGCTGCTGT